TAACATGTTATTGCGTATATACCTAATTAAAATACGCCAAATCTTTATCGTCTCATTACTGTATACTTGAAACCGTAACGAAAGAAGAAGAATCGAGGGCGAAAAAATCAATTGTTTTACACTAGCTCGTGAAAAAGATATTGGATATTGGAAATGTAAAAGAGGACTGCTAACATGATCGTACATCACCATCAAATAATACCGTATGGTTTATTCATGTACAATTTGGTGCTAGTTTGTGTCAATACCTCACACCGTTAAAAACGAAAGAGAATTGAGTGCAAAGGATTTAGTTTGTTTAGGCTATCTCGTGTCAATAATATTGGATATTGGCTTGGTGGTGAATTAAATTTGGCCTTGATGCTCTTTATCACGTTTTATTTGAGCAAACATACGTAGGGTGTTTAAAGTTAGACACCTTCGTCTTTCCTGCTCTCAATTATTTTTTGAAATGCTATAAGTTGCTCGAATTCAGGAGAAATAAAATCTTAAGGAATCAGTGTTCATTAACTTATAATCAGAACTCCGCGTTTGATACCAAGCCATAAATTAAATGTTAGACGGACAAACTTATATTACTTTCAAAGCTTTTTTTAATAAAATCTTTGTCTTGGTTGCAAGTCAAAACGGTCGTGTATTCAAAGAAAATGCCAATACATTGACGTCAATGTAAGTTTAAATCCTACTTTTGAAGCAGAATGTTCTGAACAGTAATATTCTTAGTTTTAGTATTTTTTACCTGTTAAGTAATTATTTAGCCAAAATGATGGACTTTAGAACTTTTGGTTTTGTGTACTCTGTATGTATTTTCAGACCTTAGCGACATTACCTCAATTGACTTGTCGTATTCAGATCTAATGTATTTTATTTAAAACTAGTGATGAATAGCCCAATAAATATATCAGTTGTCAGTTTTAAGTCATGCTAGACGAAGGTACTGGTTATATTTACCGATTACTCCTCATCCTCTCAGCGATTGTTTTGTTTCGAAATCATATTGTCTGAGTATTATCCCTGCTAATGCGTCCATATTCAAATTATTAGTGAAAAACACTGAATTGCAACTGATAAAATGAGCATACGCCTTTAAGACATTCGTTCTCAGGCCCCATAAGTTTGTTATTTGCTTGCTACTGGTTGCTCACAATCCTTAGTTATCTTTTTCGGTAGTCGTAATTATGTGTCTAAAAATCTGGATTAATTAATGAATTAATGCTAAAACCTGTGATAGAAAGAAAACTCATGTGTTTAAAGTGCTTAGAAAAATTGAAAGTCATTTCAACTGAAGTCCACAGACAATGAATTATGATTCTGTCAAACTCAGTAAATGAGCACATCATTTACTTGCGCAGACATGTACTACAAGTCCTAATACTACTTTTTAAGCCCATCTATTAACGGGTCACTATTCTCAAATCTAGGCATATTCAAACGTGTTTCAGAACTCAATTTTACTTATATTGTGTTACTTCCGTATTTAAGAACCAATATACTATCATTTTACTGATTTTTGAACCTCTATCTTTGAGTGTAAAATAGTGATTAGCTGTTGTATCCTCACCTACTACCGAAGATATAAATAATACTTGTTCTTTAAAATTACTCAACTCTCAGTCATTGGCGTCGTCATTGCTTCAGATCTGTGGCAATATTTACAGCTTTCTCTTCCTGTATTTTTTAGTTTGGCTTTTAAGCTTAACGGGCGTTTGTGAATGCCTTTCACCACTTTTCTAATCATTAAGTCATAGTCACTGTTGAGCGTAGAGTATGTATGACACTAAATACAGTCCCAACGTTAATCTGAATTTGTCTTCACTTAGACCCTGGGTTTCGTAATTTTTTCAAATATAGTTCTATTCTAAAAATGCATATTTCACTGAATCATATCTAGTTTGCCTAAACGTTCTTACCACCGCTAATGTTTTGCTGACATCTTTACTGATGAGATGTTCCTATTCGAGTCAGTGCGTGTTCCAAGCATTATGTCGCGCATGATTTACTGATTTACTAAAACTTCTGTACGTAAACGTTACTCTGTTTGTTAGTTGTTAGGTTCTCGAGGACCTATAAACTGTTCTTATGTAAACACCAGGTTTTTTAACAGGCCTACAAAATAACCTGAACCCATTTCATTTGATATTAAAATGTTACTGCAAACAGAAATTCGTTTATTGTTTCTCTACTTTTCTATTCAGCCTTTTGGAAATCCGAATGCCTGATTGAAGATTGTAGCGCTCTTTAACTAAATAATATGAATGTTCGAACCCATGTTAGTAAGAATTTTTCATGGAATTCAATAGATTCAAGCAGTAATGGTCCAAGCTTATTGAAGTGAGTCAGGTTTAGATGATAACCGCACCCGTTTGGGGACATCAAAGTATTTTTATTTGATCACAGTAACTTCCTGTCTTACTGATTGTCATGGCCTTCTATAGACTAATACTCAGTCGTTGTTTATTTTTATACCTTGTCTATCTTTTTTGGCCGCATTTTCAATGTAACAGCTGTCCAGTTCACCTATCGCAACACTCAATGTTTGTATATAAATTAACTCAGTCCTTAAATAATTCAGTTAACTTGTTACATGGTACATAACCTGAAATTATGACTACTATTTTCAAAGCAAAGTATATATTAATTGGTTTTGCAGTACGGCACCCGTCTTTGAACAATTTTGTTTTCAATAATCCTAGGCAGTAAACCGAGTGCAACTAAAGCCACTACAATATTGTTCTACCGGATCACCTCATATATTCAATCAATGATTTTGATGAGCTTTCTCCTTCCTAATGTGCACCAGAATACCTGTCAGTCCTTGACTGTTTGTCTGTCCATCTTGATTAGACTACAACTACAACCTCCTCATTGCAATTCTACCCAAACTGGAGTTATGTAATGTTGTTGGTTGGTTATTTCACCGTATATTCAATCTAACTCAGTTTCACAATCTCGTCAACCTAATCTCGAATTTAGCTACTGACTTGGCGTAGTGATTGACATTATCCACCATGGCTGTTAAGTCAAGTTATGCTGACTGTAGACTATGCTTCTCGACTCCTTGTTATATTGTGCAGTTTATCTGAAGAACCAAAACAGCAAATATGTGGATATAAAACTAAATACAATTGATTGTATATTAGTGTGGCATCAGTAAAGCGCTCTCCGTGGATGGCCCCCATCATCAGCAGTTTTTTTATAGACCAAAGTTTAAGTTACAAAACGTTAACCCTAACAATATTGTACTTTTTCTCGTTCCACTGATGGATTGCTACTGTTATATCCGAAAAAGGTATGGAACCAACTGTGACTGGTGATAATAGGCCTGTTCTACAGGTTTCTCGAGGAAACACGTTCTTTCACAATGAATCGGTTGAACAAATTGGATTACACATTTATTCTAGTTAGCGTCAATTATTTTTGTCTATTACATTTATACTTAAGTTTTTAACAGTATTCTGTTACTTCCCAACAGCTCGGTTAACTTCGAATGACTTCAAAATCAGTGGTTAGAACACATGTATAATGCTTATGACTTGAGATATCTGTTCTGTAGCTCATTTATTATTTATAATTTTCGATACTTTTTAATTTTAAACTTAATTTCATTTATGTAGGAAGTTTTTGCGAAAGGCTGCGGAAACTGCTTCGTCCTCCATAGACTTCAATTTATCATTTAGAAAAGCTGAAAAACAAAATATATTTAACACTGAATCTGTTAGTAATCTCATTCTTCAAGACAAACCCACGTAAGACTATTTATGTTTGATGCATTCTGTTGTCCTTTTTACGTATAATCTATAGTCTGTAAATTATACCCGAATCACTGACATACTTAGAGTTCTTGATGACCATACGATATTAATAGTACCGATGGAAATCTCACTCCCATCTTAAACTAAACATTACTTCGCTTTATATGCAGTGAAAGGTTTACACTTTTAAAATAAACCAAAGTTTATTCACTGCTTCAGTGAAATCTGTAGCATATTTCTTTACACTATCAAGCAAGTAGTTAAAGCTTTCTTTGTTCATTAGAATCTTTTTAGTGTTGTGTCAAACTAGATTTAATTGGTCCTGTCAAGTAATAATGAAACAATTTACGAATTACAGTTTACAATTCATTTCCATTAAGCATTAATGGTGCACACTATTGTTTGGTCCAAAAAATGTCTTACTGTTTTTTTCCTTGATTTTTGAACTAGTTTCAATTCTTAATGAAAAACGAAGATGGTTTTTCGAATTCTCAAAACATTTAATTTTTGTAACTATGTGCCCTATGTTTTTTTTCTTACCATACAGCTTCCATCGAAACAAATCACTATTGGAAATGAAAAGGCACACTCTTGAAAAAGATAGATACAAGTCATCAATTCATCGAAGAAGTAAGTTGGCATCTATACGACGACAACGAAAGTAGTCTGTAAATAATAGTTAACAATGCAGTTTAAGCATCTCTTAAGGAAATGTTGCAAGAAGTAACATAAGATACTCTGTTGACTGATAGTCTTCACCTTTACACAGTAAGAAAAAAACCCAGTTTGTAAAGATTACTTGGAACGATGAATAAAACAAGGGTATAAAAAATGAAGTCCATATTATGGAAACCACATGATTATGCAGAACAATCGCCGCATAAAATAACAAGTTATCACTTTTTACAACTTAATAGATATCAAGTAGATCGCCAATGTGATCAATTAATCTACATTGTTTTGAGTGATAAATACTAGTCAAAACCCAAACAAAGTTTGAATACTTTGTACTCAGCCGAATTTACTATCTTACGGTTAATATTGTAGCACGATTGTTTCAAATAAAGTAAACAAAGCCTTAACTAACCTGGTTAAGTATCGAATACCTAAACTATTTTTGTTGATTTATAAAGACTTCAATTAAGGACTTTGAACATATGAATGTTCATTACCTTCCTGGGAAGTTACGTTATAGTTTGACAAAACTAGCAAACATTTGTTTATTCAGCGGTTTTTTTATTAAATAGGCTATTTTCTGTTTGTACTTTGAAAGCGTCGACAACGAGTGGGCCTAGTCTAGATCACATTGCGACCACTTCTGTTTGTCTGTAAATTTCGTTATATAGTTAAAGATGTTCGTTCATGCTACTCAGACATTCCAGTTTCTACATTTCTTTTAGTAAGTTCATCGCACATAAAATCCACCATTTATATTAAATGAAAATTGATGAGTAATTGTGATTCGTCTTAAGATGTCATGAACTTCATCTCAACCACAAAGTTTTCTACTTTGCTGGCCAACTCCAAAAACTCCTTTTTACTATACTTAACGACATCCCTAAGTATTGATTCCAAGATTTATACCACTAGATTGAGACCTTCGAATAATAATCAAATCGATTCGTTAAATTTCCACTTAAATTAATTGTCACGGAAAGATTTTATACAATCAATAAACTTGCAGATTTCTTAAAATAATAGTTTTCGAACTACATGATGACAGTTTTTTTTGAAACAAAAAAGGAAATTACATACATCAAACTAATGAAAGGTTTATAAATTAAGAAATTGACGATTTCGCATCAGTATTTTATGTGTAACAAACTTTTACCATGAAGTATAGGAACTGGAAATTCTTTTTTTTCCACTAAACGATTTAATCCTCAAGTGAACAATCATTGACAATCATTATTCAGAAATTATTATGCTTTGTGGAACCAGTGTAAAAATCAACGAGTGACCAGTTGCGTTATCATTTCATTTCA